TTAGCCTTCTCCCAACTCCACTCTTTCTGATCCAGTTTCACATTTTAAAAAAATACTACTTTTTAATATACTATAAATTTTAGTTTCTACTCATCTATTGTGTTTTTGCATGGTGTGACTCTCTCTCACTGCTACGGAATTAGTTCAACAAGGGCAGTTTTCTGTTTTGTTTATTGGTGTCTTCCAAGTATCTAGTAGAGTGCCTGACATATAGTAGGTGCTCTACAAATATGATTTATATATTAAAGGATTGAGTCTTAACACTCTGGGGGGAAAAATCTTCAATGGAAGGGTGACAGGTGAAGCAAGAAGCCCTGTCAGAAGCCCAGTGCTCCAGTTCTGGTGAAGCCTGGTGGAGCTCTGACCAGGAGGTAGAAGCTGTGCAATCTTATGTCGGGCCCAGCCCCCTTGTCAGAACAGAGCTGGCCTTACCATTAGCAAGTGCTTTACATGTCCTCACTTAGTCCTGGTCTCACTTCTAACACTTGTTAGATAATATTTCCTTAAAGCCCAGCTCAAACATTAATATCCATGTGAAGCCTTACTCAACTTCTGTCTATCTAGGCTGAATTTGTTGCTACATTATCTTATCTTCACATCTTGCCCGTATTTTTCATATAATGGTCTTCACGCTGCGTGAGAATTATAAGACATATCCTTATATATTCATGAATTTGTGTTTCCCCTGTTAGATTGCGGGGTCCCTGAGTATAGGGAATATGTTTTATTGATCTTTCATCTTTGTAACTAAACTGAAATTAATGCCTGCCCATGATAAATGGTCTGCAAAGAAGTAACAATTATTTTAGATTAAATTCAACAAACTTTATTTCAAAGAGAGACATTTTCTCATCTTAAATAGTTTAACACAATCATATAATAACAACACATGCAAGAGGATTCTCTCTTATAGATGCTGTGCATTTTTACAATTTTAAAAAATGTTTTCAAAGTAAAGAAGAATGACCACCATTCCTGCAATTTAAAAAAATTTAAATGCAGAAGTCTAAGAATAATAGCTTGTTTTTTCCTTTTCTGTTTTTGTTTCTTACCAGAAAAAGATTCAGAATTTTAGATTATCACTCATTAAGTCTTGAGTTTCTGGCCTTGAAAAGTTAAGCATGTCTTCGGCTCTAAAGAAGCAGATTAAGCCAGTTGTGCTGGCAGCCTGAAGCATTTGGAAGCTGGCCAGAACTGCCAAAGAATTTTTTTCCCCTTTTTATTCTCTTCCTTTCCACCAGGTTAACTCAGGCAGTCCATTTGCAGAATCAAATGAAAATCAATCCCTTTTTATGCAAACCTTCCTGAAGCAGCAAGGCTATGTTTGGTCACAAGAGCGGAGGTTCATGCAGTAGAAGCCCTGGTGGTGATTTCTCCCCGCTCAGGGCTTGCCAAACTCCTCTCCAACTCATAGCGATGAAAGGCTGGATCACACAGCTCTCAAAGCCAAGCTCTATTAGACATGCCTTTTCTAAAAATAGTGCACTTCAGTAAACACCATTGTGAATTTGCAGTTTACTTGCTGGGGAGTATATTGCCACCTCCACCAAAATTTCATGCATGCATGTATTTATTTATATTTTATTAGACCTTCTTTTATCAACTAAAACCCCAGCAAATTTATTTTTTATTTTAAAATCTGATATTTAATTCCTACTCAATGATTTAGAAAAAGTATGAAGAAAAAGATCTCTGAATTAGAGCAGGTTGAATGAAAAAAGTTTAACCAAAGACAAGATTGAGGTTTCTGCAGTTTTTGGAAATTGCTGAGACCAGGTTGCAGAGATCCACTGCCCTGTGTCCATGAGGTGACGCTTTCCCAGTCAAGTAAGGATTGAGGGAATCAAATTAAGATAGTGCATTGCTTGCTACAAATTTTCCTGAGTGGTGTTTGCTGATTATAAAAATGTATCTTGTTTTATTGTCTGCAAGGACCCTGACAGTGAAGGTGCTGTCCTTATTTTTGGTTTATGTTCACCTTTGATTCTGATGGAAACCCTCTCTGTCAGATCTCTCTGTTCTGTAGCCAGCACCTGATCCTTGGACTTCTGTTCACCCTCGCCTAAAAAAAGATAGGAGAGAAAAGGACATCAAGTGTGCAAAGCTCAGCGCTGGTTTAGGACAGGAACCAAGGAACATGATCTCCAGTGGAAGCCGTGGGGATCACCAAGGGAGGATGTGATGGTTTGAGCTGACTTTAGCCCAAGAGGTCCCCATGCAGGTGGGAGAGATGTGGGAATCTGAATAGCCACAAATGGGCAGAGTGTACTCTTTGTGGTATATTGGAGAGGTGACACTATGAAACCAGCTTCCCCCAACATTAGGGTCAACTGCATTAGATTGTGTGTCGAGGAAACCTCAGAGTCCCAGTGAATCATGACCCCTTCCATCCATCATTTTCAACACCTGTTATTTTTATTTTATTTTTTGAATCCTGTTTGTTCTTCTCTGGCCAATTTCTATTGTAGCAGTTTATCAAGTCAACCCAACAAATTAGGATAACAATTTTGGAAAACAAATCTTTCAATCTGAAAGCAGATAGGAAAAAAAGGAATAAGTGTTATGTAACACTAGCTAAAAATGAAAGAAGTGATAACAATAGGCAGGACAATATAGGGAAGTTAAGAAGCCAAAATTTTGCGGATTTTTTTGTATTTTGCCCTTTTCCCTTTTCTCTTTCTGTGTCTATCAACTATTTGTATATGCTTCATGTACTCAATTATTCCATCTTCAAAATGAATGGATACTAGGGTTTTATGCATTTATAAGATGGGAATCCCACTATAGAAAAATTCCCCCTGCCATTTTTTAATTTATTTACAAAACATAAATGAGGGCACGGTTTTCTTTTTTATAAGAAGATTCTCCAGTAGCTTTCGCAAAATCAGAATTATTCAGAACAAAACTTTTACAAATAGCTGCCAAAGAGTGGAAAGAGTCGAAAGATCTCAATTAATGTTCCAGCCACATTATTTATTAGTTCTGCCTTGAGGACTTGTCAGTTAACATTTTTGAGCTTCTATTTTCTTTCATGTAAAACAGAGATAGCAACACCTACTTCACAGACTCATTAGTGATGACAACTTGTATAGAAGCTCTTGGTTGAACAGACTCATGTATTTGTGAAGTCAGTGAACATTCATCAAGTGTCTACTATGTGTCAGGCACATACATGTGTCAAGCACTGACATTATAAACAACACAGTGTGTGTACTTTCATCTGCAATTTTCCTCTCTTACAGACTTCCACCTTGGGTTAAAATGCTAAATAAATATTTAAATGAACTACAATTGCTATGCAGTTTTAGAATGTCACCACAATAAAAACTATCTAAATATAAAATTTGGTTTGTATGTAGTATATCTACAAGTTATCAGAAATATATCTACTGTGTATGGTAATGGGCAAGTACACATATTTATTTACTTCACATATTTCAGAAACAGCCTACTTCTAGAAGACTTACTAACTGTATGGGCTACAGTAAAGCAAAGGAAGGTGAATGCATCTCAGCCTTTCCCAAACAGAGAATGGAAAGAAAAGGACTCTTGGTTTTGGGAGCCGATGCTGTGGAGGAGCTTAGCAATCTAGAGACTTTTCCACATTACTCTGCAGTCCATATCCTGAGCCCCTGAATTTGGCACCATGGTGGGGTGTCCCTACTGGGACTGGTTTCCAAGCTGTGCCATATCGATGAAAGTTCTGCCTCAGTCTGTTTTGATACAAAGGGCTTAATGTGACCTTCTTGTGGGGTCCTTCCCTAGCTGCCTGAGAGCCTGTTGCCATCTGAATTCCTCTCTTACCTCTCTCAGCACCTGTGTAGAGCAATAACTGTTTCAGTCTTACATTAGATCCTAGGACTTACATACCTCACATGACATTTCTCAAGAAGCTAGACTATCTTTGGAAATTTACGTTTGCACAACCATAGGCAGAAGAGTTGAAGCACTGCACAACTCAAAGAGGCTTCAAACACATTCTGTCCATAATCATGGCATATTTTAAAGTTGTGTTAGTGCACAGCTCCTCCAGCCATTCATGGCAACCCCAAGAGGAAAACCAGAAGCTCTACAATATTCCCTAAAACTGAATCTGAAGCTAGATTACATGTGAAATCTACACTCTCATTCATGCCCTCAAAAATTGTTTTGGCCACTTTAATCTAGCTTTCTAGTCAGTTCACATTGGAAAGTGTCCTACGTACAGGCATGCTTAATGCCTAGGAATCTATCTCCTCCTCTTTATTTGAATTATCACTGCCTTAGTTCAGGTCTCTATCATCTTTCCCCTGAGTTACTATAACAGTCTCCTATCTGGTGTCCCTGCCTCAATCTCTCCTTGTCCCCATTCATTTTCTACTGTTGACAGCATGACCCATCTAAATCACAATCTGTTGATACCATTCCCCTGCTTGCTTTTATCTTTGATAACTTTCCACTGCCTTCAGAATAAAATCTGAACTCCTTAGCACAGTTATAAAACCCTTCGTGATTCAGCTTCTGCTTCTGTAATACCATGCTTGCTCAAGTCGTTAAGGCCTCTGTATTTGATGCTCCCTCTGCCTAGAATTTCCTTTTACCCTTCTATCCCTTTTACTGACCAAGCCAAGCTTGGATATAACCTCCCCTGGGAGCAATTTGAAGGCAATAAAAATATTTCTTAGGTCCTAAGAATAAAAAAATATTCTTAGACTACTGAAAAGTAACAGTCTTGAAGAAAAGTTCAGAAAGAAAGAAATTCATGGCTGGTCCACCACATACCTGATTCACAGGGGTCAGTCGCTAGCGGCAGGTTCAGTAAACCATACAGAGTAACGCCATGCTGAGCCGAGTTACTGTTTTCCTTCCTAACCTCTAGGCCAAATGTCAGGGCTGACACCAAGGAGGTGAGTACTTGAAGTACCTTTGGGCTGCCACTCAGAGATAATAAGATGTCCAAAAGACCCCATGAGAGGCAGCTGCAAGTCACATGGGAAATGAAAGATAAAAAATGTAGCAGAGTGCTCATTTTGGCAGCACATATACCAAAATTGGAACGATATAGAGAAGATTAGCATGGCCCCTGTGCTAATCAATGCTTCACTCAAATTCGTGAAGCATTCCATATTAAAAAAAAAAAAATAGCAGAAAAAGTGTAAGCCCAGGAAGCAGAAAAACTGAGTTCTGGTCACAAGATCTTTAGATTCCAGTTTATCATTTTACTGCAAAAGGACTGGACTCTGTCACAGGTTGTCATATTGAGCATCACATAGCTGGTACAGTTCTAGATGTTTCTCTAGGACCACCGGGGGGATTAGAGATGATGAATATAACCCCCCCAGAACAGCTTCTCTCTTGACGAATATTCTGTTTTTCTGTGTAAGATTTCATCTGAAGAAAAGATCATGCTGTTTAAAATGCATTGAAACTCTCTAAAAGAAATTAATAAATAGAAGATATTCCTTGAACCAACACATACATCACCTTCTCCCAGAGTTAAGTATGATGTGCTGATAGATGCACTCGGTGGCTGATGGGGCACTGCTCTGGGCTGTTTCCACAGACAACTGCCCCCTCTGCTCCTGCCAGGAAAGCCACTTACTGTCCAAGGATCAGCTGGACTTTGTCTTCAAGCCAGTAAATGTCAGTTGTACTCATTACTTTGATTATATTAATTTAATTACATATTATATAAGCCAGTGAAATAGAGTGAAAATAGGCTACTTTTTTTTTAATATGGTTTGGCTGTGTCCCCACCCAAATCTCAACTTGAATTGTATCTCCCAAATTCCCATGTGTTGTGGGAGGGACCCAGGAGGTGGTAATTGAATCGCTGGGGCTGGTCCTTTCCATGTTATTCTCATGATAGTGAATAAGTCTCACAATTTGATGGGTTTTTCAGGGGTTTCTGCTTTTGCTTCTTCTCCATTTTGTCTTGCTGCTGCCATGTAAGAAGTGCCTTTCACTTCCTGCCATGATTCTAAGGCCTCCCCAGCCATGTGGAACTACAAGTCCAATTAAAGTTCTTTTTCTTCCCAGTCTTAGGTATGTCTTTATCAGCAGCATGAAAATGGACTAATACAGCACACTGGTACCGGTAGAGTGGGGCATTGCTGAGAAGGTACCCAAAAATGTGGAAGCAACTTTGGAACTGGGTAAGAGGCAGAGGTTAGAACAGTTTGGAGGGCTCCGAAGAAGGCAGGAAAATGTGGGAAAGTTTGGACCTCCTAGAGATTTGTTAATTGGCTTTGAGAAAAATGCTAATAGTGATATGAACAATAAGGTCCAGGCTGAAGTGGTCTCGGATCGAGATGGGGAACTTGTTGGGAACTGGAGCAAAGGTGACTCTGGTTATGTTTTAGCAAAGAGACTGGTGTCATTTTGTGCCTGCCCTAGAGATTTGTGGAACTTTGAACCTGAGACATGATTTATGGTATCTGGTGGAAGACATTTCTAAGCAGAAAAGCATTCAAGATGTGACTTGAGTACTGTTGAAAGCATTCAGTTTTAAAAGGGAAACAGAACATAAAGTTCAGAAAATTTGCACCGGATGATGCAGTAGAAAAGAAAAACCCATGTTTTTGAGGAGAAATTCAAGCTGACTGCAGCAATTTGAATAAGTAGCAAGGATCCTAATATTAATACCCAAGGTGGGTGGTGGGCAGAATGTCTCTAGGCCATGTCACAGACCTTCACAGCAGCTCTTCTGATCACAGGTCTGGAGGCCTAGGAGAAAAAAGTTGTTTCATGGGTCAGGCCCAGGGTCCTCATACTGTGTACAGCCTAGGGACTTGGTGCCCTGTGTCCCAGCCACTCCAGTTGTGACTGAAAAGGAACAAAGTGCAGCTTTGGCTGTGGCTTCAGATGGTGGAAGCCCCAACTCTTGGCAGCTTCTACTTGGTGTTGAGCCTGCAGTACACAGAAGTCAGGAAATGAGGTTTGGGAACTTCCTGCCTAAATTTCAGAGGATGTATGGAAACGCCTGAATGGACAGGCAAAAGTTTGCTGCAGAGGCAGGGCCCTCATGGAGAACCTCTGCTAGGACAATGTGAAGGGAAATGTGGGGTCAGAGACCCCACACAGAGTCCCTGCAGGGGCACTGCCTAGTGGAGCTGTGAGAAGAGGGCCACAATCTTCCAGAACCCAGAATGGCAGATCCACCAACAGCTTGCACCGTGCACCTGGAGAAGCCGCAGACCCTCAATGCCAGCCCGTGAAAGCATCCAGGAGGGAGACTGTACTCTGCAAAGCCACAGGACAGAGCTGCCCAAGACCATGGGAATCCACCTCTTGCATCAGAGTGACCTGGATGTGGGACCTGGGGTCAAAGATCATTTTGGAGCTTTAAATTTTGACTGCCCTGCTGGATTTCAGACTTGTATGGGCCCTGTAACCCCTTTGTTTTGACCAATTTCTCCTATTTGCAATGACTGTATTTACCCAATACCTGTACTCCCATTGTATCTAGGACGTAACTAGCTTGCTTTTGATTTCACAGGCTCATAGACTTACCTCGTCTCAGATGAAACCTTGCACTGTGGACTTTTGGATTAAAAGTTAAGACTTTGGGGGACTGTTGGGAAGGCATGATTGGTTCTGAAATGTGAGGACATGAGATTTTGAGGGGCCGGGGTGGAATGATATGGTTTGGCTGTGTCCCCACACAAATCTCAACTTGAATTGTATTTCCCAAAATTTCCACGTGTTGTGGGATGGACCTATGGGAGCTAATTGAATCATGGGGTCAGTCTTTTCCATGCTATTCTCATGATAGTGAGTAAGTCTCACGAGATCTTATGGGTTTATGTAAAAAAACAAAAAGAACAACAAAAAAAACCCACTTTTGCTTCTTCCTCATTTTCTCTTGCTGCCACCCTATAAGAACTGCCTTTTGCCTCCCACCATGATTCTGAGGCCTACCCAGCCATGTGGAACTGTAAATCCAATTAAACCTCTTCTTCTTCTCAGCCTCAGGTATGTCTTTATCAGCAGCATGAAAATGGACGAATACATTTTTTCCGTGAATACTAAGAAGTATTGGTAACAGAAAACTAATCACTAAAAGTGTTGCTGAGGAATTACATATGAATGAGTTAATTCTTTGGGGAAAGATTGTAAAAATGTAGATGAAAGCTACTCTCAGATTGTTTTATAACTATCTCAGAGTATTAATTCCACTTTAAAGAAATCTATAATGCATAATACATTAAGAAGTTGCACAAAATACAAAAGTGACATTCACATAAAACAGGCAACAACAGAATTCCCAACACCGTGTTCACACCAAAATCATCATTGGCTCCACATTAGACATTAGAAAATAAATAAACTTCTATAATTTAAAATAAAATATTTAAATATATATACATATATTTGTATGATTCCCCACTTTGACTTTCAATTAACTAAAAGTGCTATCGTCTAAGTTTATATGTGTGGGTCTATATATATATTTGTTTCAAATGAAAAAATATTCCTTCTGCAAAAATGAACCAGCTCACAGTATCAGCTTATACTCTAAGATTCTGACTGCATTTTTTTCTTCCAAACAGAGAAGACATTTCTATTGAAGTGAACCTTGACTAGCCTTGCATATGTGCAGCTGTCAGGCTCAATGGCCACTACAACACAGAGAACATGGTTGTTTCCAACTACAACAGCTGTCCTGATTTTTAGTCTTTCTTAAGTTTCAGCAGAGACTGCAGTATGGTCATGGAAAAAAAAAAAAAAAGTTGGACGAGAAGAAGAAAGATGTCAGGGGTGTGGAGTGAGTGATGTGACCTGGAGGCTGTCTCTAACTAGTCAGTATATTTGTAGTGCAACAGGGCTCTGCTTGGCAAGCACAATGGTATAAAGATTTATTGATTCTGCTTTCAACTGTGGTCAGCCACTGAATAACTTGTCTCATTTTGGGTGGTAGCATATGCCTACCATACAAAGCATTCCTTGCCTAGGAACTATTGTAACTGTTTACCACAAAATCAGTATTGCCAGGGGCCAATAAAAAAGTGCCAACTAGGTGGGCATTGATCAAACAAAGGAAATATATTACTTACTTAAAAGATTCACTGTATTCTTGGGTGGAAGGTGTAGTCATTCTGAAAAATGAATAGCATATAAAACAATTTTGTGAAAGCCCAATTAATTTTGTTAGGAGTCTTTGTGACCTATAATTAAAATACAAATAAAGAGCTTAAAGTTTTAAATTACATACAAGGCATGAGCCTCCTAAATGGCATCTTGTCACCTGGAGAATTCCATATGGAAAAGCAAACAGAGTATTCAAAACTTCCGAAAAGCAAACATCTCCTGTATCTTATCACTCTGCTGGTCTCCTCACACCTCTTCCCTATGGCAGCCGTTCTCTCAGTCCAGATATATTCCATAAATATTAAAATATCTTTTCTTTTTGATAACACAGTTGAAATTACATTTTATGTACTGTTCTTCAACTTAATTTATGTGTCTCATTTTGGGGGATCTGCTTCCCTCCATTCCCAGCCTTACTAAGGTACAATTGCCAGACAGAAATCACATATATTAAAGTGCACAATGTGATATATATATATATATATATATATATATATATACTGTTAAATTATTACCACAATCAAGCTACTTAACATATCCATGACCTCACATAATACATAATTGGCTTTTTTTTTTCTGGTACTGAGGATATTTAAGATCTACTGTCTTAGCAAATTTAAAGTATGCAGTACGGTATTACTATTACCACCATGTTATACATTGGATCTCCAGAGCTTATTCATCCTATATAACTAAAGCTTTGTACCCTTTGAGCAACATCTCCCCATTTCTCCTACTTCTTCCTACCCCTGACAACCACCATTGTACTTTCTACTTCTATGAATTTGACGTTTTTAGATTCTATACATGAGATCATGCAATATTTGTCTTGATGTGTCTAGCCTGTTTCATTTATCATAATGTTCTTTAAGTTCTTCCATATTATTGCAGTTGACAGAATTTCTTCCTTTTAATTCTCAATAATATTTCATGATGTATACATGCCATATTTTCTTTATTCATTCATCTTTGATGGACACAAGTTTATTTCATACCTTGGATATTGTAAATAATACTACAATGAACATGAGAGTGTAGATAT